ATAGATAGATAGATAGATAGATAGATAGATAGATAGATAGATAGATAGATAGATAGATAGATAGATAGATAGATAGATAGATAGATAGATAGACATTTTATTACCTGCAGACTGGGCCTGTGTAAATGTCATTTAAACATTCTCCGTGTCCATTGCAGTAATCAGGGTTTATTTTGCATGGTCCAACACACTGCCATTGACCATTAGTAATCTCTTCAGTGTAATTAGCAAACTGAGTGCAGTTAATAAAAGGCTTCAACTCTGTGATATCTACAAGATTTCAAAACATATATATATATATTCAACATACTATAATGTAAAATAAACAAGACAAATTTAAAAAAATGGATAAAGAATGGCTGATTGTGCTTTACATTTAGAACAACATACAACACACTTACTAGTAATGGCAGGTGCCTCAAAGCTGAGATCATTTAACTCCACACTTTGATTACCAAAAGCCAAAGAAATTTTGTTGAGGTTATTTTGTAGGATATTCTTCAAAACCACACTAAGATGAGTGTTAATAAACTCGATTTGAGTTTCATTGTTTTGATACTGATACTCCGCCAGGCTCTTTGCAACAACACTTCCTTCACTACAAAAAATGGTAGAAATGTTATGAGAAAACAGCTATCTCTTTCTTAAAAGGTAATAATAAATGTAACAAATAGTTTAATAAATGTTGAAGGAAAATTTACCTTAATTTGATTACTTTAACTGTTTTATAGGCCTGGGGATCTGCTTGTCTACACAGGCTTCTGAGCTGTAAAAAAAAAAAAAAAAGAAAAGAAAAGAAGGGATTATGCAACATTTCAGATAAAAGATTTTAATAATTTTATATTTTTTTGTATTACAAAATACTTTGTAATACTAATTAAAAATAATAACTCATAATATTAAATATGAAGAAAATTATCTGTACCTGTGCTTCTAATTTGTTGATGAATATCTGTGATTCAGGTGAAGTTAAATTAAGAAAAGCCTGGATAAAAGTGATGTTGAATTTGAAAGTAATGTTTACTTTGCGCACGGGTGCAGTATCTACAAAAAATTGAAAGATTTTAAAAGCCATTTATGACAACATTTTACCTTGGACATGCAAAAGTGGGGGAGAAAACACATATATAACGCAAGAAGTCAAAATATCAATTTATGTAAAAGGTAATGAAAATATATTATTTTTAAGAAAAACTATACGGAAATGAAAAACCTCACCAATGATTGGGACAGTGTTGTTTTCTCCATAAGAACATGAGTCTCCATAGGCAAAATCTTGGCACACAATTGTTGTCAAAGAGGATGTCAAATTTGTGGGGAGAGTAATTGATGAAGAAAAACTAACTGTTGCTGACGATGTAGGAGAACTTGTGACAGAGCCTACAATTGTTGTTTCACTGGTGGATGTATCAGTTAAATAGGTCACAGATGTGGTTGAAGAGGAGAAAGAAGAAGATGTACGGCTGGGAACAGTAGTACTTGAGTTGGGTTGTAAAACTGTAGCTTGTGAGTCAGGAAGTACGGTTGTCATTATCTCAGAAGCCTGAGTAGTTGTTCCTTTGTTCTCTGTTGTACTAGAGCCTGTTACCAGTGCTTGAGTACGTTGTTCAGTGTATGTTGGTGTAAAACTGGTGGTTTCTGAAGT